TTGATGATCCCCTGCTTAATTTCCTGGGTACGAACTCCATAAACAATGGGGTTGAGGGCTGGTGGAATGAGGTGATGCAGGACATTGAGAAGAATAGGTACCTCTGAGGGTATCTTCTTTCCTGCCTTGTTTGTGAAGATGAAGACTAGCAGCAGTGTATAGAAGAAAAGTATAAGAATAAGATGTGAACCACAAGTACTCAAAGCCTTGGTGGTGGCACCTCCCGACTGCAAGCTTGTAACAGCCCTCAAAATGAAGCAGTAAGACAGCAAGATGAGCACCAGGTCAGAACCTAGAAGGCACCAAACACTCACGAATTGATAGAGCTTATTAAGGTGAATATCCCCACAGGAGAGCTTGGCTACAGAAATATTGGCACATATACAGTTCTCCACCACGTTGCTGGCACAGTAGTTGAGCCTAGCAGCCAGGACTGGAGTAGGCAGGGTGGCTAGCAGATTGCGGAAGATAATGAAGATGGCTGCATCGATGACAAACTGCTCTGTGATGATGGAGGAGTAGCGCAGTGGGTGGCAGATGGCCACATAGCGATCATAGGCCATGACCAGAAAGGTGGAAGATTCCATGGGGAGGAAGGTATTCATGATGAACATCTGCAGGAAGCAACCTGAAAAGCTGATGGTCTTCATGTTGAACCAGAAGATGAGCAGGACCTGCCAGAATCATTGTTCTCAAAAACACTGTATATTCATTATCATCTTAGAGCACCTAACTCTTATGAAAAAGCTCAGAAGGTTTGTTAAAACCAACCCACCCTAAAACCACAACCCCACAACCCGCCAGGACACTATCTTCATTTCAAATCCTTTCTAAGCCCATCTCAATCTCAAAAGTCTAACTTATACCCTTTCTTAATTCTAGAGACCAAACTTTGGTTTAAAATAAACGCTTATTTGTATCCCTATCCTATCCTGATCTCTATGATTCTTACACAAACTCCAGGAGGCTGATCGAACCATCACAGGAATTTTCAAGAAGTCCCTCCATACACATAAGAAACCTTTTACAACAAAGTTTCCTATCAAAGTACATGATACAAATGTACATCCAATTACATTTAGAAAGAAAATTCTAGAGCCATGGAGTGTAGGAGTAGAATAATTCAGATGTTAAGATAGGTAAGAAGAGAATTTAAATTTTAAATATCACTTAGATATTGAGAGATGATCTGTCCACTGGAAATAATGAAAACTTAAAAAAAAGACATGAACATAAAGAATAAGAGGGCATATCTGTGTGGGATCTGGTGCAGTGGTTTTCCATTAGGGATGGGAGGATTCATAGAAGCAAACCAGCATACTGTGTAAAAAAGAAGGTTGAAATCTGGAAAACAGTATTTAGATTCCTTAGAATATTTAGAATGGATCCACCATTTGACCCAGCTATCCACTCCTTGGTTTATATCCAAAGGACTTAAAAACATCATACTACAGTGTTGCAGCCACATCAGTGTTTATAGCAGCTCATTGACAATAGCTAAACTGTTGAACCTACCTAGATGCCCTTCAATAGGTGAATGGATAAAGAAACCATGGTATATATACAGAATGGAATATTATTACTCAGCAATTAAAGAGAATAAAATCATGGCATTTTTAGGTAAATGGAAGGAGTTGGAGAATATCATGCTAAGTGAAGTAAGCCAATCCCAAAAAACCAAAGGCCAAATGTGATTAGTGGATGCTGTTCCATAATGAGAGGAGAATATGGGGGGAATGGAAGAACTTTGGATAGGGCAAAGAGGAAGAAGGGAAAGGGAGACGGCATGGGAGTAGGAAAGTTGGTGGAATGAGATGGACATCATTACCCTAGGTACACATATAAAGACACGAATGATGTGAATGTACTTTGTATACAACCAAAGAAATAAAATATTGTGCTCCATTTATATACTATGAATCAAAATGCATTCAGCTATCATGTATAACAAATTATAACAGTAAGGATGGAAGAAAGCAAGGAAGGAAGGAAGGAAGGAAGGGAGGGAGGGAGGGAGGGAAGGAAGGAAGGAAGGAAGGAAGGAAGGAAGGAAGGAAGGAAGGAAGGAAGGAAGGAAGGAATGAAGGCAAGAAGGAAGGGAAGGAAGGAAGGAAGTTAGTTGACTGCCTGGAAGAAAGTCTATGGAGGGTCTGACCTTGGGGATGACTGTGAGGCAGAGGATGACATCCAGCACAGAGAGGATGGCCAGCAGGTAGTACATGGGCTCATGCAGAGATGCTTCCTGCCAGATGGTCATTAATAAAACAAAGTTGGCCCCCAGGGCCAAAACCAGGAGAGGAGCCAATAGGATAGAGAGCCAGTGCTGTGTATTCTGCATGCCTGGAAAGCAGATCATCAGGAATTCAATCACCTGTGTCCCTGTGTTGTTTGAGGATAATGCCATGGCCATCAGGTGGGGCTGGAAATGGCGGAAAGAAAAGAGTCAGCAATTATTAATAAACTCCTAACTGATCTGTGTGCCTCTATTCTAGGCTTTCAGTTTTATCCACAATTCTACAGAATAATTCTCTCCATTAAGTTTAAATTAGACTATATTGTTTAAATTGTTTTCCAATAATACTCAATATTTTAGGAGTAAATAATAACTCCCTTCACATGACTATGTCCCAGACATATTCCACAATTCATTGACACTCATTTAGATTAGCCACACCAATAGGACATGGTTTACATTTTGTCAACACTGTTGTTTTGTGCATATCATGTCCCTCTGGAATCCAATATTTTGCCCTCAAAAAAGTAACATCTGTTTGTCCTTTTCTTATCTTCACCAAGATTGTACTTCCTAGAATGTTTTTCTTATTACTCATCTTCAATGCCTTTCCTTTTCAATATTCCCCTTTGTATGATCCTCAAATACTCCAAGAATGTAGCTAGTAAAGCACGAAAAAACCTTGAATACACTCATGGATGTTTCCTGTTTTCCAAAAAGCCTAAAATGGAATTTTATCTTTTTATCATAACAGAGAAACATACTAGGCATTTAGTAACATAATAGACATTCAATAAGGATATTTCAGACATATGAGACTGGTTATTGAAAGCACCATAATGCCCTTAAAGATTATCCTAAATTATTTAGAACCTCTGTATCTTGCTTGTCCAGCACCATTGCCTTGCAGAAAAAAAATTGAATGATGCAGAAAATAAACCATTTAGCAGTGATAAAAAAATCAAAACAAAGCTTGGAATGATGGCACATGCTTATAATCTGGTAGCTGGTTTGGCTGAGGCAGGAGGAGCAAGTTCAAAGCCAGCCTCAGCAAAATCAAGGAGCTAAGCAACTCAGTGTGACCCTGTCTCTAAATAAAATACAAAATAGGGCTGGGAATGTGGCTCAGTGGTGAAGTGTCCATGAGTTCCATCCCTCATTCCCACACCCCACCCCCCAAGAAAGATAGTTGTCTTGGGCTTGGAATGTTTCTAGTGGTAGAGTCTTATCAACTTCACTTTGATCTCAGACACACAATTCCTGGGTACAAAGGAACTCTCTTGTGAGACAACCACAATGTTTCATGGAGCCTAAACCTGGCCACATAACGGTAACTTTATACAATGGACTTTCTTGAGAGCTACACAAGTCTCCTAACATTGCACATTGCAATTAATATGTAGCTGAGAAATAAGCTGCATAATGTTACTAGGCTGTAACCTGCCTAGTAACACAATGAACAATAATGTACTACTGATGCCAATGACCTAAAAGTAACTTATTGACATAAATAAAGCTGGCAGCTTGGACATTCTGCCACTCTGCCATCTTCCGTGCCCCTGCATCTTGTCTTTGTGTCTCTTATTATTTTCCTTACATTCAATCCCAAGTACCCTCTCCCCACAAAAACTCCAAGCAAGTTAAAGGTGAAAAAAATAAATACTAAAGACACTTGTGTAATAGCTTTTTTGAGTGTGAATTTGGTAAGTATAAAAAAAAATCTTTGTTTTCGGGGAAGGAGGAAATTAACAAAATGAAGTTTATCAGACAAAGAGAAACTGAAGGAATACCTAACCATACCCTAGACATGATGCTCCACAAACTGGAGCCCTTTTCTCTATAAATCTCCTTAACTAGCCAGGAACTGACTGGAGAAGTAGTTGTCAAGTTCTTCTGTGTTCCCCTCAGAACCAGGGAGAAAATCATTGCTTATAGTTGGATCTGGAGGGTATGTTGTTATGGGCACCTAGGATGTAAGATGCAAAATATTTCCCAAACATTGAAGCTCTTATTTTTTTCTCAATATATACTGTGGGCATCACTTCAAAATTTTCTTTTCATCTAGACCATTGGTTCTCAAAGGAGAGTATGCATCAGAATCACCAAAGAACTTGTTAAAAACACAGATTTCTGGACACAGCCCATTTCTGTAGATGTAGGATGATATGGCTTTCTAACTAATTCCTAGGTAAAGCTGATACTGCTTTTCAGGAATAGGACTTCAGGAATGACCTAACTTCTCATTTAGGTTAACCTCAATCCAAGCCGGCTGTCTCAGTTCATAGAGCCTCAGCCACAGCTCTGCTCAGCTTCAGATATCAAATTGGCTGTCTCCCCATGACCTTCTGTTCTTACAGTACGATTCTGGCATTTTGATTTGAAAGCAGTCTTCTTCCCATGGATTCTCTGAGAATACTATAAATTCCTTTTTCATGGTTTTGTCTCTCTGACTAGTTTCATAACTTAGCCATCTCTCCTAAAAGGATCAAAACTCATTAAGGTCAAGGACAAGGCTTCCTTCCTTTTCCCTTCTGACAGTTGGCACAAGTTCAGATGCTTGCATTATGCCTCTAATAATCAAAGAAGGAAACCTTCTGTGCTGTCATCCTCCTCCCTATCAGTGATAGAGCATGAGCTAAGCTGACCAAATCCTCACATGCTCATGTTTCTCTAATATCAGTGATCTCTACAGAGTACAATAACATTATCTGAAATAAATAATGAAGAAAGTCAAAGAACAAACACAAAGTGTCACTCATGCTTTTTTTCCAATCTACTGTTCCCAAAAAATACTTAACAGAGAATGTCTTCTCTACCCAGCACTTTTGACCATCCAATACTTTTCAGGTAAGGTGTGGCTCCTCGGTTTCTTGCTAAATCCTATGCTTATGGCTTTGACCTCTGGATCCATTTATGAAAATGTTATCTGGATAAAGTCATTCTCCTGTGACCAGAAAGACAAAGCATTGGTCTTTGGGCTCCCATGGGCTCTTGTGTCCCTGTAGATACACAGACATTTCCAAGATGAAAAGGGAGATTTCTGCATTTATATCCAAGTGGAGTAAGAAAAGTAATCAACTTATAGTCTCCCTGGAGGTGACTGAGAGTTACATAAACTGTTTACAATGGGAAGGCATATCACCCAGGAACATGGAGGATATATCTAAGAGAGCATTTAAGAAGATTAATTACAGTAAACTTACAAAACATACCTTATCTAACATGTAAAAGCTGCATTCTTTAAAAAATTTTTATATGGTTATGATGTGATCATTTCCTTTATGATTAATTTTTACTAACTTCTATAAATATCTTACAGATGGATAAATATATCACTTTAGAAAAATAATTTTACCCAACCTTGAAAATTTCTTTAACTTACATATATTGAACTAGACTATAATATGTCAATGAGATAAGTTATTATTTCTAAGGTTATCCACAAATGAATAATAAAACACTGAAGGAAAAACTGTTTATTCCCAAGCTGGTGAGACTGAAAATTAGTGCAATTACTATAGAAAGCTGTATGGAGATTCCTTTGAAAACTTGGATTGCAACCACCATTCAACCCAGTTGTCTGACTCCTAGGTTTATACCCAAAGAACTTAAAAATAGTATACCATAGTGACACAGCCACATCAATCATTGTAGCAGTTCCATTCACAATAGCCAAACTATGGAACCAACTTAGGTGTCATTTAACACATGAATGGATAAAGAAACTGTGGTATACATACACAATAGACTATTACTCAGCCTTAAAAAAATTAGTTATTTGCAGGTAAATGGATGGAACTGCAGAATATCACATTAAGCGAAATAAACCAATCCCAAACACCCAAAGGCTGAATGTTTTCTGTGATATGTGAATGCTGAATCACCATAATGGGAGGGAGGGCTAGAGAAGAATAGAGGTACTTTGAATTAAACAGAATGGAGGGGAGGGGTATGGGGGCGTAAAGGATAGTAGAATTAATCGAACATTATTACCCTATGAGAGTATATGATTACACGACCAGTGATATTCTACATAATGTACAACCAGAAGAATGAGAAGTTATACTCCATTTATGTATGATGTGTCAAAAAGCATTCTACTTTCATGTATAACTAATTAGAAAAAATAAAAACAGTTTTTAAATAGTAATTCAGTCGTGAGTTTCTAGCAGTCAACACTCCTAAGTCCTGGAGAACAGGTACACTGAAACACAGTATCCATTAAAGAATTTACTGGGTCTTGGATTATTCTGTGACAATGAGAAGTCTGAACTCCAGAGCAGTTTGGAATTTAGCAGGTCACCGAAAGGAGGTTTCCTAGCCCAGCCCTAAGAATGTGCAATATGATGCAGGGGTCATAATTAACACTGGACAGAGGTCAGGCCCTGTTTAGGTGTGGGTTCAACTATCTGCTCTGCCTCTCTGCCTAACCACCCATCCCTGAGGGCAGTATCCTTCACTTGACGCACCTCCTGCCAATCTTCACACCAGGTTGTTTTGTCCAGGTGTGTCTGGAGCCCTCTGGGACCTGCGATTGGTAATAGCACCCTAACTTCCCAGTGCTCTGTCCACAGTCACTGTCCCTACCTTGGGTAAACATCAAGAATGGACGCTCAAGGTAAAAGTGAGAGAACCAGCCATGAGA